TCTCTCTCTCTCTCTCTCTCTCTCTCGCTCTCTCACTCACTCACTCTAGAGTCTAGAATTTTTATACTCTCAGATAGATACTTATTACAAAAATAATACCATAATTATAAAATTGAATAAAATATATAATAATAGTGCGAACGTAAATCAATTTGAACGAAAAATAATTGAATTACCTGTACGTTTGCGATGGCAACTATAAAAGTAATCATTTAAATACAAAAAAAAAGTTCATTACTTTAACAAATCTATTAAAATACATGTATTATTAAATGCAAATTAATTATTATTAATCCACTCACTTGTTGGTAACCAAATGCGATAATATATGACGGCATCGACACTAACTGTCACCGAGTCTTTAGTCAGCACCTGTTGAACAGGGATTCATAAACAGTTACATAATTATAATTATTATATTGATATATTTAAGTAAATTGATATTTGTAATGACAGACCTCTTGCGGCTGCAATGAATTGGGAAAACAATAAATATTTAATTAAATAAATTATTGAAACAAGCAGAATATTCTGTGTTATATTTTAAAACACAACTCACCGGTACGTCAAACGTAATGGTCCTTAAATCGACTACAGAATAGGAATCGACGCATGGTATTATGAAAAATATACCAGGTCCTATTCAATAGAAAACATGTTATTGATTAATAAAATGTGTTTTATGTTGGTTATTTTAAATTGCATAATTTAATGGCATTCAGATATATGAATACATAGCAAATATATTGATTACCTTTAGCGCCGCCTCCAGAGAGTCGGCCTTTGGTTGTAATTATAAGTATTGAATATTTCATGAAAAGACGAAAGTTAATTATTTTATTTGCTTTTATATATTGATAATATTTATTTGTTATTTTGTACTAAATATACCCTGACAAATCTTATAGTTAAATAAAAACAAAATGAATTAAACTAAAAATAATTTTAAAAATAAATTACAAGACATTTAAATGTTTAAATATTCATAATATTACTTAAACATTGTGATTTAAATATGAAATTAATGTACTGCTAAAATAAATTATTATGTTATATCATACCTAAGCGAAATATGACAGCCCTTTCGTATTCTTGTACGACCTGTTCGTTGTAATGGGAATAATATTAGTTATGTTTTAGTGAGAGATGTTGTAATATTATAATACAATAGGTTTATTATATCAATAAAAATATTTTTAATGCAATTCATCTAAATATGCACTAAATCTAAGTTGAGATATAAATGCATTTGTTTTCAATAAAGACATGCAAATGGTTTGAAGAATAATCAATAAATAGCAAAATATAAAGAAAGTCATTTTGTTGTTTCTGTTTTATTAAATTGTATATTTGAATTATTCACCCATTAGCTAAATTTACATTGTAATATTTATGTGTTGCGTTGGTTGACCATGGTTAAACATTATATTTATTGTAGACTTGATATATAATTGTAAATTATAAAATTTTCTGATTTTAATAATAAATTGTAATACATATTTTGTTACTTAATTTGCCTACTTTTATTAATTATTTATCATGTTATATTATAATAATCAGAAAAATTTAGTAATTTTAATTAATTTTATTTAAATATCTGAATTTCAAGTTTAATAAGTATGTGCATTGTATTTAGTTATTTTAGTAATTAACAATAATTACAAATTTTCTAAATAGCGCATTGATATTGTTATTTATTAATTAAACCAATTAATTAAAAATTTCTAATTATAGTAGTTAATTCGCAAACTTATAATTTACATTAAATGTAATTTTAATAGTTATCATATTATTATTATTAATATTTTATTTGATCCAAATTTAAAGATATAACTATTATTTAATGTTTTGTTTAAAAACAAACACATTATTGTGTTATAATAAATATATACTGATAAATGTTTTTGAAATTTTAATTTTTAAATTATTCAAATATAGACAATAGGAAATCATTAATTGGAGACATAAAAATAAATATATTATAATAATGATTATGATCGTTTAATATGGCTATGCAAATATAAATTGAGCATTAAACTATAACATTGGTAATAATATATTTCAAAAAGTATCCATAATGTGAAAAAATATAAATAAATATTTGTAAATAAAACTACAATTTAGCCCTAATATGTGTAAATAATCTTAATGTTTATTCAAATGTAAAATTGAACATTGTATTTGTAGCAGAAATTATTAAATAATTTATATTTATGAATTATCTTGTTCATTTATCAATTCTTTTAATAATAATATTTATAATTTATAATTCTTAATAACATTACAATTAAAAATATTTCTGTTTCATTCAAATCAATAAACCATGTTTAGTTTCTAACTAAAATAAATCAATAGTTAATGAAAAGTGAATTGTGTTTTAAAAATTTTAATTATTCGCTTATTTTAAAAGCTATTTATAGCTAAAATGTCACTCAAAAAAGTCAATGCATTTCTTAAATAACAATCAATAAAAATAATTCTGTTTTTTAAGTTTAATAGACACTTAATGTTTTGCAAAATACACCCAATAGTGGTGAATTAAATTGGTATTATATTTAAATGTGGGTTGATAAATATTATTATTTGACAAATATTTACACTATTAAAATTATATTTTATAATTACCATTTTTGAATTCAATAACAGTTTTAATATCGTATTTATATTTTAATATAATATTAACGCTTTCATAGAATATTGTGCTTTTTCAGATATTTCATGTGTTTTGTGTATTTCAACACAGAATTACATTAATATATTTTTGTTTGAAATATACTATGTCCGTTAACTTATTATGTTAAATAAATTACAATAATAAATTAAAACTTCAAAAACATGTATAACTGTCTTATAGTAAAAGTAATCTAGCAAATACAAAAATGATCACAAACCTTTAGGCAAATAAATAGGCTCAGGGGTAATGTACAGGCGATACAAAACAGTGATATCAATAGTATTAGTGTTCCCGCGAAACCATGTCTCGATTCCTCGCCTTCACCTGAGATACAAAAATAATTGATTTTATTTTTAGTATACGTTTGATTGAAATTAATGTCTTTTTATGTGGCATTGAATTAAAATTTTATAAAATTTTCTTATACTTTAAGTCGTTGTTTGTAGTAATCATTTATATTTTTCATAAGTTATTGCATTAAATAAATTTCTTTGTGTGTCAAATGTTAAAATTTTTATAGTTTAATGATTTTTCCCAACTTTTGATATTAACAAAATGTCCTCATTATAATTGTGTACAAAAATGGCAAGGTGCTTTACTTATAAGGCATTTACAAGTATTATTAATACGGTACTTTAAGTAATATAACTTTAAAATTCTTATATAATAAATAGAATTACTTTAACAATCACATAAAAATATTATGGTAATTAATTAACTCAAAAATATACAACTATTATTGCTTTCTATTATATTTACATATAATAATACATTAATCTAGTTTATAAATATTTAGTTAAATGCCAATTGTAATACAAAATATTAGTCCATAGATTTATTTAAAAATTTATAAGTAATACTTACTTGTAGTAAAAGCTTCAATGCTGGCTCTATTAGTTCGCATATTATGGTAAGTTTATAAACAATGATTTGTTCAGTGAATTGTCCATCAATTAGTAAAGTATTAATAAGTATTTAATCAAATTTTAGGTACAAAACTGTGAATTTCTAAATAAAACTAATAATCTTTTGACAAAATATTCTGTATATTGAGATTCTTGAGAAATTCTTAGTGAAAATATAACAATAAAAACAGTGATTTCACAACAATTTACAGCCAATACTCAAATCAAATTCACATTTATTTATATTCGTTAAAATAATTGTTGATTTTTTAATTAGTTTTGTTGTATTAAGTATTTGTGGCACAGAATATGAAATGTTATGTCAATAATAATATGAAATCAATTTTTATGTTAAATTCTTAGTAAACACTATATGTGTATAAAATATCCAAATTAATGCAAAAACTATTTCATATAATACTTAATAATACGTATCATAAGAGTCGCTAATGATTGTTGAGATGATATCTTTTTTTTGATGGCTTTTATAATATTTAAAAATAATAAAATTTCTCTCAACTATAAAATATACAGTAGATATAGAGTCGATGTTTATAATGTATATTAAATTATATCGAGTGTTTGAGAAGACAAGAAACAAAAATTAATATTTTTTAGTTCAATATATCTATGGATTTTCATATACACCATACAGTAAAATGTAGTCGATATTACAACGTGGTATATGCGCTGAACAATATATCTATCGGTGAATATAATCTAATTATTATATCATTAAGAATAGCGTTAAAAAACTATTTATCTCCAGTATATGCTTGAATTTGCATGTGTAGTGGAAAAAACTATTATTATGGTAGAAATATTATTGTACCTGTCCATTTCTACTGAGTTGACTCTGTAATACCTGTGCTATAAATGCATTATACATATGTATATCGCAATATGTATTTCTCTCCCCCTCTCCCGTAGATATCTATCAGACATATGGCATACTATTTAAAATGTAATGTTTTTGTGTTATTTTCTTTTGATAGATATTTTTTGAGTTAACAAAAGGATGAATAGTTGTCAACACATAGAAAAACATGAAATAATTTTTATTTCATATTTATTATTAATTTGTGTTTTTCTCTTTATTATGCATTTAAAATAAAATTTGTTATAAATTACAATAAATATTTATTAAAAATACTGTACTGTATATTATTCTTACCCTTAATACAATTTTTAAAGTATTATTTTAATCAATACAATACAAAAGTTTTTAGAAAAACTTCTGACATTTTGAAAAATTATTATTTTTTATGGATTTTACAGCGAATTATTAAATTTCATTGTAAAACTATTTTTGTTATAATTTATTATAATATTAGTTATAATGACAAGATTTATTTTAAATAATACGATAACGTATAATGTAATTAATGTGACAAACAATAATAAAAATTCTGTCTCAATTTAAATTGAATTTATTTATTATTGAAATAGTTTTTATATTTTTCAATAAATGTTCTAGCATAATATCTATTTTAGAAATAAATGCAATTTTAATTAAACAAACATTTTTAAATATAATATTAATTCAAATTTATTTTAATAGTAATAGTATTTTAATATTAAATTTGTTAAAGCGATTAAATACAATGAAGATAGCAATAAAATAAATTTTGCATACATTGTAATATAATAAAAATCTATAATTAAATATTTATATTTTACAAATAGACGAGTATGCTTATACAAGAGTAGTTCTTAATATTAAAATTTCAAAATTATTTTTAACACAAGATTAATGTTTAAAAATTATTTCTATCCCTAATAATAGCATTCATGTAATAAATTATTCTGTTATGTATTTTACGACATGAAAACACTTATCATTTCTCGTCCTATTGTGATATGTGTCTGAAGTTATCTCATTTGCAGGTAAATTAAAACTCAATATAAAAGTAGACAATATTATACGATATTATGTGCATTATATGCAAAATATAGATCATCATGTATTTTGTGATCAGAATTGCACCCAAATATCTCATTGTAGTGAATATGTAAACATTATTTCGCACACGAACTCAATATTCTTGCCATTAAATAAAGTTGTTTTTATGTCAATTATATTGTACAATAATTTCTATAGTATTGTCCATATGTTGCCATTGGATACTGGATTCAAATCTTATGTATTTTATATATAGCTTTATTCATAATATTTATTATAAAATCCTTACGATCGTTAATGTTTTATTAAAATATTATAACATAATATAGAAAAAATATGTCATTATTTTTATTCATTAAATCATTTAAATATAAATCTTATCCTAAGTCAATTTGTTATTACTAAATTAATTCAGTTAGATTTGAATGTTTGAGTTTGCTCTATGTTAAGTATATTTATTACAATTTTTCAATTTTCCATATTAAAATATATTCATGTAGTAAATGTATTGAATTTTAACCATTTCTATAATGTACGTGAATTTTGACCGTAAAAATGTTATTGATTACTTGTATTGATTTATTAAAAAAATTATATTTGGTTTTCCTTATAAGATATACAAGAGGTGTGACTGACTTGTGAGCGCCGATGAGAGACTGTTAGTTGATATACAAATAAAAACTATTCTTATTTTAATAGTAACTTATTTACTGATCATGATATTTTTAATGTAATGGTAAAAGCATTTTGGTTGTGTTAGATGGGAAAATACTACACTATTTAATTAAATTGTCTTTGTTAATAAATGTGTGAATAACTAGAATTATTACAATGTTTAATAAATATCATGACAATATCTAAAGGCAATTATTCTTTCAAATAATCAAGGTCAGTTTCATTGTCTTTAAAATAAAATTGTGTTTATTATTATTTTATAATAATTAATAAAATACTAATTAATATTACAGTTACCGAAAAATTCGAGAATTAAAATGCAATCAAAAATTAATCACAACTGATAAAAGTATTTTAAGTAAATAAATCACATTTATCAAAATAAAACTAATAATCTATCTATATACAGTACAGTATTTATATACTGTGAAAGTTAAAGATGATTTTAAAATCTAGGAAATAATCCAATTGATTACATTCTCCTTAAACTGTCGAGTAGTATGGTTTGGACACAAATTGGGAAACACGTTGTGCTCATAGCCCAGTGAGGAACCCGTCCCAAACACGTCCAGCACTGCAATACCACAAATAGTTTGTATTACTAATTATAAACAACTATTTGAATTGTTTGTCAAGTATTAGACAGTCTAAGCAAATAAATTAATCAAGCATTCAACAAATAATTACCTGTTCTGTTAAATGAGCTCATTTTATGACCAGTTATTTTGTCGATAAATTTTAGATACGAGGGTCGCATAGCCCGGGGCTCCATAATGGTTACGTACGCCAACTGTGCGGTGGACATGGCGTATAAAAGCATTATGGTCTGATCCTTATACCCTAACCATCCCTTCCGTACGGCCATCAAGTATAGCATTTCAATTGATTTCCATAATAAATATAAGGCAATCGTTGTATTCATCGTATTGCTTGATAGATACATGGTTGGACCTAAATGTACACGTGATAAATATTGTTTACTACCATGTTTCCTGACAATTAATTATTTTTTGCAATTAAAAAACTATAATTTTCAGTCGACCTTCTATTGTGAAAAACAATACAATTATTTATTTACTATAATTAGTAATTAATTTATTTTTAATGTAAAATCCTATTTACAAATCACTTATACAGATGTAGAAACAAACAAATATATGGCATGACATACCGGCGCAGAGGGCGGCCACCAATGAATGCCAGTCTTGGGATGTGTTTGTGAATCTCCTGAGCAGACAATTCACTGATTTAAATACAGCAGAAAACGAGCCCAAAAATAGACCAAAATATACATTATTACTGTCCGTTAGACTACTTATTATGACAGTCTTTGGCGATCTAATCAATCTCTTTGGTCTCATTAGCGTATTCATCAACACCTGTGCCGTCCAACCGATGGCAAAGTTGCCCATAAAATATCTCAACGAGTTTGACACACAAGATCTCTGCCGGTGGTTACACTTTGGGTGTCTTTCAAAGTAATTGCCAATTAATGAGACAATAAGTCCACACTTTTGCCTCATTGTATGTAATATTAATTTGCTTTGTACTGCATTTGAATTGTTGTCAGTATTATCACGTTTATTATCGCTCGTATCAGACGTATAATCACTAATCACACAATTATCACATTTATTTGACATCTCAATAGCACTTTTATTGTTAACTTTTACAGACTTTTCGCGGCCTAACATGACTTTGAGACCAACACAGACCGGATCCCTACCATAACCATACCTGCGGACCATAAACAGTAACGCAGAGATTGAAACGCTGGATATAATGAAATAATTATGAAATAATTACAAACATAACGATAATTATTATTAATAAACGATATAATAATTGTTAAAAATTACGTGAATATAAGGACTTCTCCTCTGGCAATGGGTTTCACAATATGTCTATTAATAAGCATTCGGTAAACGGTTTCGGAGGCAATGTTAGCGCAATAGACGGCTAACGCACCCCTTCTCGACCGCTTCTCTATCAGTATAGCCAATAGACTGCTTACAAAAACCGGTAAATACGAGCATAAAGTGTAGTAAAATTTACCTAGAAGAAGTTAGCGAGATGGTTAATTTATAGCGTTTAATTAATTGATACATTATACCGGTAACTTTTCTAATATTGCAAAACATGGACATCATTAACAATGCGGTAAAACCGAGAAAACTGGACGACCGTAATGTGTTTGTTATGATGGATATTACGATTTTTGTGTTTAATTTTCGTTTCATAATCGCATTGAATATATATAAAGGTGTGTATAGTTTCAGCGATTCTCTAAACACAGTAAAAGTCATCTGAAAATTGAGACCAAAAATAACACAGAATTATGGGTAAAATCACGGACTTTTGAAAAATCAAAATACTGTCACAAAATATAGTAATCACAGACATCGAGGGCCGCCTCATCGCAGTTGGGATTCCACGTATGGCCTGTTATATGGATTTTATATTAAAATTTGTTGATATATTTTTAATTAATTGTGAATAAAGTTTCAGTTCATACCGATCTCATAGCAATTGTAAGGCAGAGCCCACTCAGGCATCAATACTTTGCTCCAAACGGATGGCATTATCCCAAT